CCGGGCGCGCGCGCCGCGACTATAATAGGGCTTGAGCGGGGCGCCCTGCCCCCCGGCGCGTGACGTGGGCGGCCCGCAACGGCCGGCAACGGCCCGCAACGGTGCGCGCCGCTCTCGCGTCCTGTGTAAACATCGCGCGTTGCAGGGCGAATGTTTAACAGCAACTCTGGCAAAGGCGTCTCCGTAATGATTTACTGAACGGCCGCTCGGCTGTCTGGCTCTTGGCTGGGCTTGAGCGGGGCGCCCTGCCCCCCGGCGCGTGACGTGGGCGGCCCGCAACGGCCGGCAACGGCCCGCAACGGTGCGCGCCGCTCTCGCGTCCTGTGTAAACATCGCGCGTTGCAGGGCGAATGTTTAACAGCAACTCTGGCAAAGGCGTCTCCGTAATGATTTACTGAACGGCCGCTCGGCTGTCTGGCTCTTGGCTGGGGCTGCTGGACCCAGGCGTAGTGTTTGGACGTGGTGTTTATCCTTGCCTGGAGTGCGTTGTGACAGTGCTGCGCCATAGGGTAAACAGTGTGAATGCAGAAAGCTGAGGGGAGCTTTGTAGACACTGCTTACACCCACTGAATAGCTGAGCAGATGCTCCCATGCTTTAGCTCAGATAATTCTAGGATTTTATGTTCAGTGTCAAATAACACAAAGTTTATTTTAGTTAAAGTAGTTCAGTGCTGAATGCCTTGAAATGGAAAATAGACCCAGCCAGGGCAAAAGTTAAACTGTTTATGTCCATGTCCTGTTCAGAAAATTCCCTTCCTTGTCACTGCAGCCCTCCTGGGGTGTCCCTGGGCAAGGACACGACCCTTGGATAGCTGAAACGAAGGGGATGAGCTCTCCTTTCAACACGCCAGGCTAGGGAGTCCTCAGGTAGGCAGGTTTGTTACAATTAGCTTCCTGAAAGAGGAAGATGCAGAAGTGTGTGCGCTGCAGTGGAGGAGATAAACAACAAAGGCAGAAAAGCAAGAAAAGGAAGAAAACAAAAACTTGGCCAACCTCTCAACACTAAGCTCCTCACAAAATCACAGACTGGCTGAGGTTGGAAGGGACCTCCAGAGATCATCTGGTCCAACACTCCCATGCATTCCAATAGCTCCTAGTTGGTTACGTGCTTGAGAAGAGGCAGTTGAGTTTGAAAGCTCATCTGTGTGTTTTACACTCTCCATTTTGTGCTTGAGAGTGTGCTCTGACACAGGATGTTTCAGCTCGCCCCTCTTGAGCAGAAATCACCTCTTCGAGTTTGGTGTCTTTTAGGGTTTAGAAGCGCTGAAAAAGTGTTGAGAGGCTCATAATGATGGATGTCTGCAGGCAGCCAGAGGGTGTTTCTTCTTGGCAGGCTCTGAAATACACTCCTGGCACCTTGCTTGGCATCACCTGCTTGTGAAGAGAGATTTGCTTTTACCAACTTGCATAGGAACGCTGGCCCAAGTTGCTGCCTGTGAGATGCAGGACCCATCTGGTAACTGAAAGAGCCTTAATTTATGACCCATATCACAGAAACACTTCATAATTCTCTTTGATATATTTTTTTAATTTTTTGTAAAACCAGCAACATACAGTCATAGGTTGCCAGGCATATACATATAAGTGTATATAATATCAATCTAAATATAATCTAATGTAAATAGAGATATAAAATAGAGAGCATACATTTGCATTAGAGGAAAAAATGGTTCAATTTAAGCTGTGATTATAAAGTTTAGATTCTTTTTCAACATTTAAGAATTGTTAGTATCCTATCTTCAGGATGACCAATTTGGACAGAGAAACAAAGTTGATCCTAAATGATGTAAACATATATGGATTATTATTGTTAAAAACATGCTATTTTCTTATTATATTCAGTGCTGTTTCTGCAGACGTGTGGAACATGGCTATTAGTCTAATGTGTCCCTTTGGTAAACAAAGGCTTGCTGGGTAAAGCAATAGTAAAAACATTCTCTTATTTGTAAACAAATGTTTGGAAAATATCTACAACTGAAGTATCTCAAAATGCCTTACAAAAATCCGAAAAGTGACAAACACATCATCAGGCAGGGAAGGAGGATCTACAAGCAGGAGAAATGGGTAAATTGCTGGTTATGTGATCTGCAAATGATACAAGTCGATGCCATAGCTAGGAATTCAGGGCAGATTTACTGTTTCACACTCCAGCACCATATTAGGAGCCACAGTATAAAATTAGGAGAGCTTTGTTATATTTCACATATCACGAGTGAAGTGGTTT